TCTCACTATTTTCGCACAACTACGGGGCCTCGAAGAGCCAATAACGATAAATAAATGCCAAGGAGCTTCGTACATTATATGCATACTTTCGCAGAGCCCGCTGAATTAACACGAATGAAACGAATCAATCGCGCGCAGCGTGTACGGCGAACACGCGAGCAAACGTTTCGAGCGCGGGTTTTTGCGAGCTCCAAAAAAGAAGGGGACTTTTTCACGACGAAAGTCGAGCGAGGGGGCCCGCGTGCCATTTTTCACCGGTCGCGATCGGACAGCTCAAGCAAATAGGATCGGGCCAAGTACACCGGTACATTTCGAGCAGTTGGAGAGTTAATAGTTTGTGGATTTAATCCAGCGAATCTAGTCACCATTATATAATGGCACGGTAGATCGTTCCGGAGAAATGGTTGAATCGAGTGAGAGAGTCCCGGATTAGCGGATGCATCAGTGCTTACAGAGGACCATGATTAATCCAGCCCTATGGCCCGAAAGCCGATGAGTCGGGGCGGCCTGCAGGCAGCCGAAGTGGAACGGAGACGACGATGTTTGCGAATTCAGATTGATCCGCGACTGCCAGATGCAACTCGTCTCTACGACGTGTAAATTCGTCCCCGCCTCCTCCCGTCGTCGTCGGAATATAAATCGTCGCTAAAATGAGTGCGGAGGGAAGGGAGGCGAAGTTGCCCGGCGAGAAGAAATACAACGATCTCATTCCTAAGTGCCAGTTAAACCGCCGGCTTATCGGCGAACCGAATCACGTCGCGGATACCGGGTATCGATCGGCGAGCATTATCGTAATGAAGAACTATTATCCGTCGCGAGGAGTAAAATGTTGAATGAAGGCGCAATAAGAGTAATGTTATATCTTATGTTAGGCGGGAAGCGCGCGGCAGCACCGCGTTTCTCCTCGCCCGTTTCGTCGAAAGTGCACGGCGGAACTTAACGATAATTAACGCATCGCTGTTATTATTAATGGACCAAGTTACGTCGGCACACACTTGGTCTCCCGAGCGGCCGGTAATTAATGAATGATCTCGGCTATTAATCGGCTGGTGGAGATTAACGCGGGCGCGCGCCCGTAGAAGAACGATCGCTTTCGGGCGATTTTAACTCGGCTCGCGCGATTTGAACGCGCAACGGACGAAGAACGGACGAGAGGGCGAAGAGCGGGTAACGCGATGAGGAAACAATAATCGACGGTTCCAACTTGGGGCTCTAATTAAGCACGAGGCATTAGTTAACGAGCCGTAGTTATTCGACGCGCGGAACCGAACGCGCGGGGACCCGAACTTCGCAATTAAAATTCACCAGCTGATAGTTTCCGGGGTGGAAACTGTAATCTTGAGAAGACCACGCTCGATCACCCGGTCAACTCGTTGTTATATCCCGAGGCTATCATCGCTCGGCTGCTGCTGCTGCTCGTTTCGACGGGCGTCTCTCTATTGTAGCGCCGTTAATCCGAACGTCTCTCTTCCTCAGTTACGAATCCGATCCGCGGGAAGAAAGAAGCCGCGATTATTTCCGACGCGCTTATCTCGGCCGTAAAAAGTAACGCGGAGTCGCACATCTCGAACAGGCGGCGGGAAAATGCGAATTCGACCGGCGATCTCGAGAGACGGACAGCGCGATGCGACGCACGTGCGGGCTATCGGATCACGTGGGGGGGAAGTAAGAGTTAATGTCCGCGGCGCGTATCACATGTAAACCGGCCGGGGGAGAGGCGTCGTTATCTCCGCATCGTGACGATTCAAGCCTTCCGGCATAGCTGCGGCTGTTATCCGTCATCTTAATGCATAGCCGGAACACCGAGCGACGCACCACCGGCTTATAAACGGCGCGATTATTCCGCCCCGTCCACCACCCACACTCCCCCGCCTCCCTTGCTATCCGCCGTTCTCCTTCGCCGTCCCCGCGTAAGCAATGTCGGTGGCCACGGACGGGTCCGCGTGGTCTCTGTAAATGCATCGATTTGAATTTCATAGGGAGGGAAGGGAGGGTGCGAGCCGGCAGGATGAATAGTTTTCAATATCTTTCCTCTTGTCGATCCTTCGCGATTCCTACACGCCGTCCACCGCGTATAAATCATTTTTTGCCCACAGCATCTCCCTTTCATTTCCTCCCCCCCCCC